CAATCTTCGAGAGACTGGTTTGGAAGATTTAGTAGTGTCACACAACAATTTAGGATGAAACAATGTAGTGTTAATCACTTGTGTTTAGTATGGATCAAGGATAAAAAAATTGCAATGTATCGGGGCATATCGGCCGATATGTATCGTATCAGGGGGTAAACTGGCCTTAAACTGATGCCTCTGAACCAGTTTCAAAGAAAAAAAATAAAAAAAAAGTGACCAAAGATGCAGGCTGATACGCCCCTATCGATGTATCGGCTGGTATCGATATTTTGAACCTTGGTATGGATACTGCTTCAGGGAGAATTGTTTTGGCGGTTTATGTTGATGGCATTATTATTATTATTATTATTGTTGTTGTTGTTGTTGTTGTTGTTGTAAGTGATAAACAAGGTACTAAATTGTTGAAACAGTTTTTGTGGAACCGATTTCAAGCTAAGGACTTGGGGCATTTGAAGTATTTTTTGGGCATAGAAGTAGCGAGGTCAACTTGGGGAATCTCTCTCTCACGAAGGAAATATGTGCTTGGTTTGTTAGAAGATACAAGTCTATTAGGGGCAAAACTAGTAGATGCCCCTACAAGTCCGATTGTAAGGATGTCTAATAGTGAGTGGGAGCTTCTAGCTGATCCTGGAAGGTATTGGAGGTTAGTAGGGATACTAATTTATCTCACAATTACAAAACTAAATATCTCCTTCAATGTTGGACTGTCAAGCTAGTTTATGCTGAATCTGAGGTCAACCCATTGGGAAGGTATCATTAGAATGCTGCTTTATTTAAAGGTTTGTTCTCCAGGTCAAGGGTTGTATAAGAAAGGAGGAGAACTCTCTTTAGAGGTATATGCAGATGCTGACTGGGCAGGATCAGTCACAGATAGAAAGTCTACAATTAGTTATTGCACTTTCTTGGCAGGGAATTTGATTATTCGGAAGAGTAAGAGGCAGAGTGGCAAATTCAGCACCTTTCTCTTCAGTTGCTCCCTTATGGTCTCCACAGGCCCAGGGTGTGTAAAATTAAATTTTGATGGCAGTAGTGAAGGTAATCCTGGGCCCTCGGGTGTTGGTGGGGTGTTTAGAGGTGAGAATGGTGAGGTGATTGCTTTTTTTTCAGACCCCATTGGGAATGGTGACTCTGTAAGAGCTGAGATATGTGCCTTAATGGAAGGCTTAAGGAGGACAGGAGCTGAGTATTCATAGACTAATTGTGTAAGGAGACTCAAAGCTGGTTTTAAGCTGGTTTCAGAAGGACAATGGATTGTGGAAATATGTAAATGATAGAAGGGAGGCTAAATGGCTAACTAGATTGTTGGAGGTTCACTTTCAATGGATGAAGAGGACTGCAAATGCTTTTGCAGATACATTGGCGAAACAAGGGGTGGGAAGGGAACAAATGTTTTGGGCTGTATTGTAATTTTCTTTTCTTTTCTCTTTTTCGGGAGAGTTAAGCCTCCTTACCTCTTCCTAGATTGTTGTAATGTTATTGTCCATTAATAAATCGATTCTGTTATTGATAAAAAAAAAAGAGTAAGAGGCAGAGTGTGGTGGCTAGGAGCATTGTTTTAAAAAGATTTGAGGCGAGGCTAGGAAAAAAGGCCTGGCCTCAATAGCATCAGACCCCACCATTAAGGCTTAGGCCTTGAGTTGTTTGAGGCTTATGTCTTTGGGCCTTTGGCCTCATAGTGTCCGAGGCTTAGCTCAAATTTTCAGCATGCTAATGTGGAATATGAAGGTTTACATAGAGGAAAACATAAATTTAAGACAAAAAACACCTTGTTTTGTATATATTAGTGTAATGAGAAAATGAATAAACATTCAAATAACAAAAAACTTGCATATAAAATGTGTAAGAAAACAGCTTGCTTTATTATTCATGCTTTGTTATTATTCATTTGCCCATTTATTTCTTCACTAATGCATACTAGTACAAGAAAGGAAATAGGAATGCCTTGCTCTTAAAACAATGTTGGTTCATATCCCTAAATTTGATAAGTTTGACTTCTATGGTTTTGTTCTAGGAAAAAAATAGGGAAAAGATTAAACTACTTTGCTAAGATTCTAACCCAAATTGTAATGTCTCTTTGGGGTACCGATACCCCTTTTTTACAGTATTTTTAAACAACTTTTTAATAATTAAATAATATAAAAATAACCTTGTAAAATTAAAAAAATTGAAAAAAAGGTATGCATTATTCAAAGTGTTGATACTCAATACATCCCTTTCAACATATTGGAGTGTGTGGATACTTTGAACCATGAATCCATGTCTAATATATCATACAAGACAATCCATATAAGACCCTAATTTTATGGATACCTTGAGGCTTATGCCTTGCCCGTATGAGACGCAACCGCCTCTGCTTTTAGCCTTTTAGAACTTAGCTAGTAGTAGTGCAGAGGTTGAATACAAGGCCATGGCCCATACTACTTGTGAGTTGGTGTGGCTAAAACAAGTATTACAGGAGATAGGAGTAGCTATTTCAACTCCCCTTAAGTTGTTTTGTGATAATCAAGCAGCTATTCACATTCTTCCAATCTAGTGTTTCACGAGAGGACTAAACATATAGAAGTGGATTGTTACTTTGTAAGGGAGAAAGTTGTTAGTGGAGAAATTGTTACACCCTACGCTTGAAGATTAGCTAGCCAATCTCTTGACCAAGAGGTTAAGTTAGGCATAGTTGTAACAAGTTGGAACTTTATCATATGCTCCAGCTTGAGGGAGAGTATTAAATTATAAGTGCTGGCCATAGGGGTATTTTAGTCTTTTTGCATTTATTTTTCTTTATTATTTAGTTGCTTTTCTATTTCAGGGTAATATTGTAACTTCAATTCTATTTTAATTAAAGGAAAGTGAGGCGGCAGTTTGAGATTACTTGGGTTTGATATCAGCTTGCTTTGATCTCTTGTTCCTCGACATCTTATCTACTTCTCTTCTACTTTGATCTGAACTGAATCAACACTATTGCTAGGGCTTTTAGCTCCCTATTTATTTTGTTCTTGTTCTGATACTAAAAAAATTCTTGTTTTATTGTCTTTTCATTAGTAGGGATATTTCTATCATTTGGTTTCTTGTAATTAAAAATGGGTATATAGGTCATGACACTTTATTTTGTATACAGCTACAACTATTTTGAGGAATAAAATCAGTTGTGAGAGAGATATTTTCTTTTTGTCTCAAACCTACAACTTTCTCCTTTCCTCTTTCATCTCTCTCTCTCTCCCCCCCCCCCTAGTGCTTCTGTTGCATCTATTTTTCTTGTTCAGTTTCTTTTTCCAACTTTATCTATTTGATTTAAATTGGGTTTGGATTGATTATGATACAAAAGAAAAAGAAATACAATTCAAGAGATCAAGAGGGTGATAAGAAATCACCATACAACTTCCACAACAAAGCTAAAAGACTTCTAAATCAACAACCAAAAACAAAACCAGCCCTATCCAATACAAAACTAGAGATAAAATAAAAACTAAACCAGAACAACATCCTTGGCTCATAGCTTGAACCACTGCACAAATTGCACTACATAAAATGGTTAGTTTACTTTCCAGAACAGCAGAAATCAAGGCTTTCACCGAAACTTTGAGGGCAACAAAGAGAACCCCCTCCAAAACTCGAACCTGCTGATGCGCCCCTCCTCAAGGAAAGAATAATCCAACATAATCCAAGAGACTTTCCAATTTCCAGCTGTCTATCTACTAGTCTGTCAATATCCACTCTTTCCTTATTATAACTGTCCTCCTTGGGAGACTCTTCATCTCCACAGCCTCCTAACATCCTTCCCTCCTCTCTCCTTTCCCCACTGTATACTTTTTACAAGCCCCCCAACACAAAATCTTTAAGGTTAAGCAATTGGTTAATCTTAGTCCTTGTGTAAGAACTATCAAATTTTCTATAGTTGAATCTCCATGTCCAAGAGGTCCAAAAATAATTCAATCAATTTTCCTTCACTACAAAAATTTCCTCCAAATCCTGATGTTCCCAGATTGCCAAAAATGCAGCCATCAAAGTTTAGCTTGATTCAATTTATTGAGGGGAGGGGGGGATCAGAGAAACTGCTAGGATATTCCCTGATGAAGAACTTGCCACTGCTTGCAATTCCTTATAATATCATTAGTAGAGAAATCTTCGAGCACAAAAAGGATTTCACCCATTAGCCACTTTAATACAAATGTTCTCGATGATGGCTGCAATGTTGTTTGACTTTAAGATCTGGAATTCCTTTATTCCCATACGTGCCATCAAATAGGAATATTATATATTATTGATAAAATAATATAAATATTTCTTTGATATTGTATGCAATGAATAAAATGACTCAAAATTAACTTCTATGGACTTGAATGATGGGTCTGTAATAAATCTCCAGTATTTGTACTGATTTTATAGATAGATAAATATTATTCTTTGTAGATATGATCATTTATGCTTAAGTATTATTTGATTGGATCGAATCATGTCAAATTGGATTGGGGCCAATCTGTTCAAGTTTTATTGGATTGGATTAAGTCATACCAGATTGTTATGGAAGATGATGGATTTGGCCGGTGATGTCTTTCAAGTAAAAATAATAAGTTTTTAAGTACAGTTCAATGCAATCATTGGTTCATTTCAATCATAATTCAATAATTGTACATTTCTCCAATCATAGTTTTAATTAATTAATCATTTCTTTCTTTTTTTTTTTTTCATTCTTGCAGATCGAGCAGGCTTCTTGATAGTGTATTTGCCCTTTCCCCCTGGATATAAATCTCATCTTTACCTTATGATTGTTATTAAAAAAGGAAGAAAACAAAGGCAATTAGTTTATCCTTTACCTACAATTATGACATTGTTCATGATTACCATAACATATGACAGATTTTGTCTTTTACTTTTGCACTTTTTAACTACAATTGGTTATTATCTGGATGTTATGGTCTGTAATAGTTCAAGTAAAAACTTTGATAAGGTTGTCTTTATTTCCTCATCTAGGAGTTTAAGCTATATTTTTCTTGTTCTTCCAGGATTGAAAAGAAGTTACAAAAAATGGAGGCTGCAATTTCAAAAGCTAAATTGTTTACTGTGGATTGCAATAATGTTGACAAGAAACTGAGGCAGATACTAGATCTGACAGAGGATGAAGCTCACTTCCACATGAAACAAAGTGCCTTCCTTTATCAACTTGCAGTCCAGACCATGCCCAAGAGTCACCACTGCCTATCAATGAGATTGATGGTTGAATATTTTAGATATCCCTCACTGGATATGGATTCACAGGTTGAGAAATATGTAAATCCAGAACTTCACCACTATGTCATATTCTCCAACAATGTACTTGCAGCATCTGTAGTTATCAACTCAACTGTAGTGCATGCAAAAGTATGCAGTTCTTCATGCTTCCCTCATTCACATTATCTTTTTTGGGCGTTACAATGTGTTCATATTATTAGTTTTGGGTGTTGACATGTGTATCTTTGATTTATTTGAATGTGACAGGAAAGCAGTAATCAGGTTTTTCATGTGCTGACAGATGGCCAGAATTACTTTGCCATGAAATTTTGGTTCTTACATAATTCTTTCAAGGAAGCCACCATTCACATTCTCAACATTGAAGATCTTAACTTGGATTTTCATGATAAGAAAAACCTACTCCATCTATCATTGTCTGAAGAGTTTCGTGTTTCCTTCCGTAGTATTAACAAACCGGATGCAGGTCAAATGAGGACCGAGTACATATCAGTATTTGGTCAGATCCACTATCATCTTCCTGAAATATTCCACAATCTAAAGAAAGTAGTAGTTCTGGATGATGATGTTGTTGTCCAACAAGACTTATCGCCCCTGTGGAGCCTTGACATGGAAGGAAAAGTAAATGGGGCTGTGCAGTATTGTGCACTGAGGTTGGGTCAGCTAACAAGTTATTTGGGTGGAAACAACTTTAACAGAAGTTCTTGCATTTGGATGTCTGGATTGAATATGGTTGATCTGGTGCAGTGGAGGGAACAAAACATCACCGAGGCTTACCAGCAGCTGCTGCGATCAGTAAGTAGTGTTTTTCTATGAATAATCATATCCACGAATCCTTATATTTAATGCTTACTAAACCAAACTCTTGAGCATGCTTTGGATTCCAATTCCCACATCTAGGTCCATGCAATATAGCTTTACCTCCTCATAAGCAGTATCAAATTTTTTTGGTAGCTTCTGCTTTTCACTCTGTGTTGATATATCTAATAGATAGTTGATAAAATATTATACATTTGTATATATGTATTTATTCAACTACAAATAGTATACCATGTTTGTTTGTGGCAATTCCTCATGTCTGTTAATATAGTACTTGTTTACTGGTAGGTTCTTGGATTCTTCTTTATGTCTGATACTATAGTGATAGGATTATCTTTTCTATTCTTCTCAATTTGTTTCTCTAGGGTTCATCATGTTTTAGCATGAATACTGAGCTTTAGGCATGAAAGTTTAATCCTCTGTTTATTAGACATATCATACTAATCAAAGTACAATTCCAGTTTGCCTAACCAATCAAATAATACTTGCAGATTGTCATCTTTCTTGAAGTTAGGCACCTCTTCATTATAACAATTTTGCTAATGATACCCAATCTTTTATTTATAAAAAAAAAATGATACCCCAATCTTTCTGAAGTTTGGCACCTCTATATTATTTAATTTATTTTCTTCCGCCATCTCGAACAAAACGGCCAGTGATCTGAGTCTGTTTTAGAGAGTTTACTGTTGATTCTTGACCAATTTGATTGTTTAGAAGATACCATAGGCATATAGAATGGGCTATTTTGTGACAACATAGTTTCTAGCCATTAGTCCTGATACCAAATTGATGTAGGATTGTTTACTAGGTACCAATTAATGTAGGACAGAGACCTATAGTTCTAAATTGATGTAGGACTGATTGCTCTTTTCCATGGGTCCTGATTGAATCTTTTCCTATAAGAATCTTACGATTTTTGATAATGGGCTCATGATTTATATGGTCAATGCAATTAGAAGAAATAGAAAATAACAATAAATGTTGAGATTTTAGGAAAAAACGAGCAGAAATAGGAAGAGAAGTTTAGAGCAAAAAAAGGGAATAAACAAAAGAAGAAAAGGGAGGAGATGAGAGAACTGGAACCTCTATCCAGCCCCTAATTGGCTTTTATTTGTTCTTGTTATGATTCGACCTGCCTTGGAGTTCTATTTGTCTGAGATCAGTCACGTAGAAAGGTGGAAGAAAGAGAGAGAGAGAAAAGGAGAAAGTCTGGTTCGAATTGGAAGTCAAAAAACCTAACTCCCGTTCGGCAACACATGTGCTTTTATTATTAAAATAATGTAAAAGACATATGTGCCCTTATTTAAGTAAGGAGCACTGGTTCTAACATAATATTACAGATCAGCAACCTTAATATAAGTATAAAGACAGAAATACCCCTACGCTAACACTCCCCCTCAAG